CGGCGCCTGGCGTGATCCCGGGGAAAGGAGAAAGGGGAATTCACCCGATGTGGAGAGAATTCTGATGAGCGCTGTGGATAAGATTTTACGCTAGTGCATCGGACAGCATTTTCTCCTCCACTGCGGAGGTTTCTTATGAGGAGGTAATTTCCTTTCCCACACATGTGGACTAATAATGCCAAAAATGGGCTGCGGACGAGAATTTGCTCAAAAATTTACTCCAATCCTGTTTTGGAAGAGTTTTGCGTGGAGGCAACAGAACCATCTCTACATCTTCAGATGAAAATATTTATCTAAAGTGAAAGCAATCAGTATAGTTCATTCGCTAAATGTAGACACACCGGCATCCCTTTAAACCCGAGGCTCCATTGTAAGCGTCATTCAGATGTCCCCGGCCCCCGCCCGACCCCTGGCTAGACCTGCCAACAGCTTTTCATGGGGAGAGCGGTGTTCAGGCTAAGACATGCTAGTACGTTGGGTTGCCTATGCACCGGCTGCACTGGCTGCTGGCACGGAGAGAGTGGTGTTGTAGCAACACCGTGAGCATATCCTGTCGCCAACGATCTGGGCGCCTCGGGTGAATATTTGAAAAGCTCTCTACCTTGCTACAACAGTGGCAGCTCGGCGCCCTACGCCTGCAGACCCTGCAGACCCTGCAGACTCTGCAGCCAGTGCTCAGGCAACCCAGTCAGTTGGTTGTCTTCACATCTCTCCTTCTGATGCCATGGCCAGGCCATGAATGTATTGCCCGCCTCATCGTGCATATTCGTTTTGGAGTGTAAGAGATATTGCAAATCACTACACTGATTCTACCTGGCATGTCTTGTGGATTCTTGTAGGCTGACTGGGACCATCATCTCTGGAGATTGAGACATGAAAGCTCTTCATCCTACAAAAAAAAAAAAAAAAACGTAATTCACAATGGATGGAATGTTGACGCAACAATCAACCGAGCTACTGAGAAACTAAAGAATGCTACTAGGAATAAAAGTTTGTTTCCAGTAGTATTATGATATTCAGTTACTTTACCTTTCCATGTCCTTCACCATGATTATCACTATCTTCCTCTTTGACTGCCTCTGCATTGGTTGACGTGATGTAATGTGTGAACCTGAAGAAGAGACAAATAACTCACTGACATTACGAGTCACACACCGCAAGAAGAGTGAACACATCTTTAAATTTGATGGTGGTAATTTCTACCAAATATATAACTTACTTACTGTGCAACTTCGATACTGGCGTTGAACTTTAAACCTCTTGGACCCTATTTCTATCCATTCAAGCGATGGTTTTGGGTCACCACTTGACATATTGTTCTTTTGTTTTTAACGTCAAATCTACAATTATTTCTTCCAAACCTTATAAATGGTGTTGTCATTGCTCTTATTTTTAACCTTTGATAAAAAACCGGCTAAACAACCACATTTCATCTCTACACAAAACAAAACATACAAACCATCAACCCCCACCCGCCGACACCTTACCACCAGAGTCGAAGTAGAAACTATCTGAGGGAGAGACTTACTTTTGACTAACGTAGGTAAATACTTCGTATGAAAAATTCATCGACTAGCGTGTAAATTTTGTTAGTTTGTTGTGATTCAAACAAGTTGACGTTTGAAGTGTTTAGTTTTACCTACCTTGTTATTGAGATACGTGATACCTTTCTGTTAAATTAAAAAAGAAGGTTCCATTTCCTAGAGAACAAAAAAGTAACCATGCTAGGACTACAAGAATACGGTAGCAGTAGTGATAGTGAGGCAGCGTCGGATTCCGAGGGCTCAGCTCTTCATTTAAAACCTTTAGAAACATCTATTTCTACCAAAATTGTGTCTTTGTGTGCTGCCCCTGATGTTGTACCCTTGGTAAGAATTTGCCTTAACATTCCTACTTGTGTAATGGAAAGAAAATTATGTGAAGTTTAGGTTAGGTTAACTTAAGTATGTTTGGTGTTTCCTAAACAATATCATTCTGTACATTCTAATTTACACAACTACTTACCTAACAATTTCTTTTCAGGGTGCAGTAGACCCTCGTCCACTAGTTGATCCTACGTCCAAAGAAATAATGTTCAACCTAAAATATGACGATTTATATGCCCCAGAGCTGGGGCCTTTTAATCCTAATCAAACCCAACAACAGAAAGCTCAGAGAAATATGCTTTCTGGCTTTGTGGAACCAGCACACATGGATGCCTTTCAGTTTGAAAATCAAAGGCGGACATTTACTAGTTATGGTAAGACCTTTTACAATATATATTTGTGATCAAACATGTCGTTATCGCTTTTTACCTATTAAATTGTCTTATTGTGTTTTTTGGTGGCTTTTCACAGGATTTGCCCTAGATCCTAGCGTGGACGCCAACACAGTGGAGGGTGCTAAGGTTGTTGGCTCAGAACTGGCTTTACAAGAAACAGGCGGAAAGACTGTATTTGAATCAACTAGTAAAAGACCCCTAGACAAACGGAAACGCAATAAAAATGACCAACCAGAGGATGTTGAGGGCTTCTTAGGTCCTTGGGGTACTTATGTTGATGAAAAGAGAGTGATGAAACCAAATGAAGTGAGTGAAAACTTATACATCTTTCTATCTGCATCTAATTCTGTTAACTAATTCTCTGAATTCAAATTTTAGGAAGAAGCAGCTGAATTAGAAGAAATTCTTGCTAAAAGACAGAAGAAAGGAAAGCAGGTTGATGAGAGACCTATTGAAGAAAAGACAGTTCTTCACAGTATGTGTAGTCCTTTAAGCTGTCACCGATGCCTAGCATATATGTACTTCCTGCTTTTATTACCCTTGGTATTTTCTGTTTCCAGTTAAGGAACCTTTCGACTACCAAGGCCGCTCATTCATGCACCCTCCTCAGGATGTGGGCGTAAATTTGAAATCAGACACACCACCAGATCGTTGCTTCTTGCCTAAAAATCTTATTCACACGTGGGAGGGTCATACAAAAGGAATATCTCAAATTCGCTGGCTACCGAAGACTGCCCACTTACTTTTATCATGTAGTATGGATTGTCGTGTGAAGGTAAGTCTCAAAGCTCTCTATTCATGAGTAAAAGTTCAATTGGATTTCTTTGTAGTTTACTAAAATTTCTTTTGTAGATCTGGGAAGTCTACAATGAAAGAAGATGTGTAAGGACCTACTATGGGCATCGTCAGGCTGTGCGAGATATTGCATTCAATAATGGTGGGAACAACTTTTTGTCTGCTGGTAAGTTGGAATTCATTAAAGTGTGTCACATCTGTCAATTTATGTATTTCTTCTTCTAACTTATGTGCCCTATCAAATTTCTTCCTCTAGCTTATGATAGATATGTCAAGTTGTGGGACACAGAAACAGGAGATTGCATATCCCGTTTCACTAGTCGGAAAACACCTTATTGTTGCAAGTTTCATCCTGATGAAGATAAACAGCATCTGTTTGTTGCTGGAACATCTGACAAAAAAATTATCTGTGTAAGTACAAGTTTAATCTAAGAGTTTGTTGTTACTATTTATCCTATGAAGTTATCAATATAATTTTTATTCTAGTGGGACACGCGATCTGGAGAAATTGTTCAGGAATATGATCGACATTTAGGATCAGTCAACACTATAACATTTGTGGACGAAAACCGTCGGTTTGTGACAACATCAGATGACAAAAGCTTGCGTGTTTGGGAATGGGACATTCCAGTCGACATGAAGTACATCGCTGATCCAACTATGCACTCAATGCCAGCTGTAACTCTCTCTCCAAACTACAAGTGGCTTGCTTGCCAGTCAATGGACAATAAAATTGTTGTCTTCTCTGCTCTCAACCGCTTCAAAATGAATCGAAAGAAGACATTTTCTGGTCACATGGTGGCTGGTTATGCTTGTTCACTTGACTTCTCTCCAGATATGAGGTGGGTACTTCTTTGTTTTAACATAACTTAAAGTTATTTATTGGCTTTCAGAATTCTTTTTGTCTAGGGCCAAGATAATAATGACTGAAAATACATATTGAAATGTACATTTTATTTTTATTTTCTCTCTTACAGTTATGTTGTTTCTGGTGATGCCGATGGAAAAGTTTACGTGTGGGACTGGAAGACTACAAAATTGTTTAAAAAATGGAAAGCACATGACGGGGTCTGTATATCAACACTGTGGCATCCTCATGAGCCCAGTAAGGTTGTCTCTGCAGGTTGGGATGGTAAACTCAAATTCTGGGACTAATTTATAAAAATTTAAATATCAAGCCATTTTATTTTTAGTACCTAGCTGTATGCATATGTGGTACCTGACACATGTAAATAAATAATTGTAGCATTCAGATGAATCTGATCGTGGATTTAATTTTGTTGTACTTAGACAACAGCATGTATCAGTCCAATCCTTATGAAAAAAAAAACTTAAAAGGAATTTGACAACCGAATGAATATTATGACGGAACGTCAGCAATAGATTATCCTCAAATGAGACTAATGGATCAGCCGTCCATTTATTCCACTATTTGAAGTAGTCCTTCTCAAGGCCTCTGCGTGCTTGAGGATTTGACAGAAAAAGAGACAAGTTGCTTCAGTCCCAAACTCAGTTCTCTCTTAACTGGTGGTCGGAATGGTTTGCCACTCGTGGCACTGCCTGTAACTATTGCAATAAAAGTTTGCTATCTTCAATACCGGCTGACCTCGCGGTGGCTCTAAGAGACAAGTTTTTCGGTGTTGAGGCGACCCGTGTCCGTGTCGTGTGTGTCGCCTGCCTCCCGGGCGCCGTCGCCCTCCTCCTCTCTCGCGGGTGAGAGGAGAGAGGTACTTCCGGCTCGGCCGCGAGGGGCGCCTCGGTCGCCCCCTCCCCTCCCCGTCGCCCACCTCTTCCCCGAGCCCCCCCGCGGGTGCGTCGCGGCCGACGTCTCGCGAGGCACGGCGACGTCCTAGGGCGTTCAGTCAGTGCTGCGGGAGGTCAAAGCGTGCGCGCGCGTCAGTAGGTCCGCCCGTCTGTCTTGTCCTTCCGGCGTGTCCGTGCGTGTGCGAGCGAGACACCACCAGGGCGAGCAAGAGCATCAGGGTGCAAGGCGTCTCAGCCATGGCTGCCGATGACGGTGTCCTCAGGGAGCAAGATATCGTGAGTACCGCCCGCACCCGCGGCCGTCGCCTCGCTGGTCCTTCAGCTGATTTCCCCCTCCCTCCCTCCTCCTTCTCCTCCTCCTCCTCCTCCTCACTCGGCTCTCCCCTCCCCCTCCATCGGGCAGGTGTACCGACGACGACGACGGTGAAGCAGGCAATCTCTGGAAGCGGGAATTCTTCGTAAGCCGTTTCTGACGTCGAGCCCGTTTCGCGGTGTCGAATCAATCATCTGGCGTCCGGAACAACTTTATTTGTTCGAGTGCGAGTGAGACGTGTCACTCCCAGCTTGGAGCACTCTTAAACACCCTGAGCTGAAATCACGGCCGCGACAAGCTGACATCGCGTTCAAAGTATGAAGTCGCCGGGTCGACCAAATGACCTGTGTTAGTGGACGCCATGTGGACGCACAGGTCACTGGATTCTCCCCCGCGCCGCGCGGCTGTCACGCCGGACTCGCTCGCGCGAGTGCGAGGTACACTTTGGACCCAGCTGACCCTGACCATAGACTCGGCGCTCTCCTGTTTCACCACCACTCGCTCGGCCCGGCCACCATACCGACGACGCGGACGTCGGCCACATGCCGGATTCACGCCAAAACCGTCCCAATAAAAAACAAAATTAAATCGACGTTATACCAGGTGGCTGATTATCCCCGCTCACTTCTGTGGTCATGCTGTACCGTACGCACGAGTGCGGGCGAGTTGCCTACTCGCTCGGCTCTGAAAGCGCCGTGGACAGGGGGGCGATAGATATGTAAGCCCAACCGCATTCGTGCATGCGGTACAGCATGAGTACACAAGTGAGCGGGGTTAATCAGCCACCTGGTATACATGATGTCGAACCGACGTCTTTGGTTCGTTAGATGGATAGCGACGCGGCGACTGGGCCATCTCGTTAAGGGATCATCCACAAAGTACGTCCATGATTCGCTGTTCCAAAACTGCCAAGTTCATCCCTGAGCTAGCTCTCGGAGCGCCTGGTTGGTAGGCAACTTCTCGTATGTAGTGCATGTGTGTTCTGCGGGCTGGCCTACCTTGAGCCTCGCAGGCGCTCATTTCCCCTTTTCGCTGAACGAATCTTAGAAAAATCGGACGCGTATACTTTCTGGATGGTCCCCAAGTGTAGCGTGCCCACAATGTGGTCACGCGTTGCTGGTTTTTCCAACCGCCGCACTGAACGGTCCGATTGAGCGCCCAAGGTGCGCAGGGCGCGTGACACACAATGTCTTATTGCGAGCTGCCCGTCGACATTGACCCGACGACAGCAGCGTTCGGGTCGGGGGGTGAGCGAGCAGCCCGCATTATACTGGGTGGCGCCGGGGTATGTTTCGCGTGTCCAGGAGGCGCCCCCCGGGTAGGCTCTCTCCTCGACGAACAAGACGGCGCAGTCGTCTATCTCGAGACAC